CACCCATCTCATTTCTTATATGGGCTATCTGCTTCCTCTCCTGTTTTTCTTTTGTCAGTTTGGCCAATGGTTTATCAATTTTGTTGATCTTTTCAAAGAACCAGGTTTTGGTCTTGTTAACTCAACTGTTTTTCTATTCTCTATTTCATTTAATTCTGCTCTAATTATCATTTCCTTTTTTCTGGCACCTCAAGGCTTCTTTTGCGGCTCTCTTTCTACTTATTCCAGTTGTAGGGTTAATGTTTTGATTATGGCCCTTTCTTCTTTTTGGATGCGTGCACTTATTGCTATAAACTGACCTCAGAGCACTGCTTTTGCTGTGTCCCAAAGGTTCTGGTAGGATGTGTTTTCATTCTCATTTGAGTCTATGAATTTCTTTATTCCATCCTTAATTTCTTCTATAACCAAGTAGTTTTTGAGCAAGGTGTTATTCAGTTCCCATGTGTTTGATTTTTTTTTTCTTGCTTTTTCTGTTGTTGATATCTACTTTTACGGCTTTATGGTCAGAAAAGATGCTTTGTAATATTTCGATGCTTTGTTAAGGCTTGCTTTACGGCCTATTATGTGGTCTATTCTGGAGAATGTTCCATGTGCATTGGAAAAGAAAGTATACTTGGCTGCTGTTGGGTGGAGTGTTCGGTATATGTCTATGAGATCAAGTTGGCTCTTCCGTGTCTTTGTTGAGCTTCTTTCTAGATTGTCTAACCTTCACCAAAAGTGGTGTGTTAAAGTCTCCTACTAAGACTGTGGAGTTGTCTCTCTTTTCAGTGCTGTTCGAGTTTATGTATTTTGGAGCCCTGTCACTGGGTGCATAAATATTTATTATAGTTATGTCCTCCCGGTGTATTGACCCTTTAATCACTATATAGTGTCCTTCCTTATCCTTTTTTGGTAGATTTTACTATAAAGTCTATTTTGTCAGAGATTAATATTGCCACTCCTGCTCTTTTTGAGTGTTTGCTTGATACATTTCTTTCCATCCTTTGAGTTTTAGTTTGTCTTTAAGTCTAAGGTGTGTCTGACTTCCTCTCCATATGAAAAATTTATTTTTCAAGTCCCTCTTTTTTGTTTTAGTATTGTCATCTTTTACATATTGACATCTGTTTCCCTATTTTCAATGTTTTAGCTTTGATTTAGTTTTGTGACTTCCCTATCTGGGTTGATATCTGGTTGCTCTGTCCTGTGTTCTGGTCTTGGGTTGTTATCTGATGTTACTGATTTTCTAACCAGAGGACTGCCTTTAGTATTTCTTGTAATTTTGGTTTGTTTTTTGCAAATTCCCTAAACTTCTCTTTATCTGGAAATGCCCTAATTTCACCATCGTATCTGAGAGACAGCTTTGCTGGATATATAATTCTTGGCTGGCAGGTTTTTTCCTTCAAAGCTTTATATATGTCATCCCATTGCCTTCTTGCCTGCATGGTCTCTGCTGAGTAGTCTGAGCTTATTGTTACTGACTCTCCTTTGTAGATGTCTTTTCGTTTATGCCTAGC